ACGTACGTAATAAATGGTGCGTTCAATATAATAAAGGGTCGGTTCATTATGTTAAATGGTCACCGCTACTTGTTAAAGAGTGAGACATACATAATAAATGGTGCGTTCAATATAATAAAGGGTCGGTTCATTATGTTAAATGGTCACCGCTACTTGCTAAAGGATGAAACGTACATAATAAATGGTGCGTTCAATATGATAAAGGGTCGGTTTAGTATGTTAAATGGTCACCGCTACCTGTTATAGGGTGAAACGTACATAATACATGGTGCGTTTAATTTAATAAAGGTTCGGTTCATTATGTTAAATGATCACCACCCCTTGTCATACGGTTAAGGGAGTATAAGAAATAGTGTGTTCTATATAATAAAGGGTCGGTTTAGTATGTTAAATGGTTACCACTTCTTGTTATAGAGTGAAAGGTACATACATGATGTGTTCAATATAATAAAGGGTCGGTTTACTGTATTAAAAGGTCATCGTTACTTATTATAGGATGAAAGGCACATACATGTAATAAATAGAAATTAACACGTTTATAAAAATGTGTTAAGTACATACATTTGTATAATCAGTGTACAGCTAATTTCACATGGTTTCAAAAAACACACATTAAAAGTTAGCTATGATGATTCAATTAACTGGTGTTTATGGAGGGATTTCCGTGGCACAGTTCTCTTTTAGTATTCTTACTTTAATTTATTGATTTTTCAATTTTATTTTAATATTTCATTTATTTATTATCTTATTTCTAACATGTTGTTTTTCCAATTCAATTTTTCATTTCATTTTGACCTTTTATACAGACTTTCTAAATTTCAATATTTACTTGGTCACCGGAAAAACCGTACAGCTTCTTTTTTACTTTGTGAGGCTGAAATTGAAAGATTATATTCCAAAGACACTTGATTCTTTAAGAAACTTTCAAAATTTTATTTTATACACCTTCCTTTATTTCAGTAAAAAATGTGTAAAGGCGGAGTTAGAAAGTAAGAGTAAGTAATAGTAAAAATGTTAAAATAAGAAAGTTAGAATGCAAATTAGGACGAAAGGGGGCGCTGCGACCTCTTATGCAAATGTTGAATATACATTGAGGTCTTGTGCGAACTACCAATGAAACGTACCGTAAAACTATATTTCCCGGAACATTTTAGGAGTTGGCCATTTCATTCTGAAGGGGAACGTTGGCAAATTTTTCAGTGTCAGATTATTTATTTTTATGTCGGTATAGGACGGATAATTTATTTTAAAGGTTATCTGGGTCAGATTTAATTTTCCTCTTCATGTTCATTAAGATTGACAAGTCAAAAAATATTTCATTGCGGGGAGGTACCCAAACTCTATATTTTCAGGGTGATACCAACCAACAAGGTCCATTTATTTATTTTCTTCACAGTGGGGGAATACTAGTATAATTTATATCTAGAATCTCCCAGCCCTAACAACACAAAATCAAATGGACGTCCCCTTACTTTAATTTCCATAATATTCTTCCGTGTTTTCGTTTAATTCTATAAGAAATGTGATGTGAATCAGTACTCTTTTTTAGTACTTGCCTATAGTACACAAATGTCATGTATCTTTAAATGTATATCGTTATCAAGTACAATTGAAAAAAAAGAACGGCTGATGGAAGGGGAGGGAGAGTTTAGTGTCATCTTCTTTTTGCCGTACGTAATGTATAGTCTTCTAAGGAACATCACAGTCACTTATTACAATATATTTCCTCCTCTGTAAAAATATCATTTTTCTATGTTAAAAAAATTGTTTATAGAAAGACCACACCTCTCCAACCTTTCGTATAAAAATTATCCTCCCCCTTTTTGTCATTTGCATTATTTGTGGAAATTGGAGGAGGGGTCGTGTCTATACAGTACACAACGCTTTTAATTTGCCACATAGGCCCATAGCAACATTTTTAAAGGGGGGATAAGAAAATTGACAAGCATTAAAAAAAATTATAGGCTCAAAGTCGAAAACCTATTGGGGGGGGGGGGGGGGGGTAGTATCTTTCTATAACTTTTTGACATTTTCTTAAATCAATGCATTATAGTGGGACACATTTCAACCATGCTGCTACAAAAATATGGGGGGGGGGGGGGGAGAAGCAGCCTTTGAATGAAAATTTTCATATTAAATTAAATAGGTTTACCCTTCCCCCTCGAACCACAGGCCTACATCGATACTTAATTGATATTTTATTTTATTGTTCAGATCAACATGACTGATTCTGAGGTAGGGGAGGCCTGGAAGATTTTGGAAATAAATAATCTGTCCATGAAAATGTTGAAAATAAATAACCTGTCTTCCACTTGGGAGAAAATAAATAATCTGACCTAGACCGTACCTAACCCCCTTACTAAACTAGATTTTTCAAGTTTGCGTATCCCCCTTATTCTTTAAGTTTGGGTACCCTCCCCCCCCCCCACACACACACACACATACAGACACACAAAATTAAATGAGGATATCAAAAGAAGAGTGTGGCATTTTAAACCTTCCAAAGACACCATTTAAGTCATCATATTTTTTTTTGGAAACGATGTAAAATTAGCTGCACACCAAGTAATGTACTTGACGTATCTTTTGTAATGCAATACCAACCATTTATGTTGTATGTTCCACCCTATAACAAGTAGCGGTGAAGCGGTGACCATTTAACATAGTAAGCCGACCCTTTATTATATTGAAGACACCATTTATGTTGTATTTTTCACCCTATAACAAGTAGCGGTGACCATTTAACACAATAAACCGACCCTTTATTATATTGAAGACACCATTTATTATGTACGTTTCACCCTATAATAAGTAGTGATGACCATTTAACACAATAAACCGACCCTTTATTATATTGAAGACACCATTTATTATGTACGTTTCACCCTATAATAAGTAGTGGTGACCATTTAACACAATAAACCGCCCCTATATTATATTGAAGACACCATTTTTTATGTACGTTTCACCCTATAATAAGTAGTGGTGACCATTTAACATAATGAACCGACCATTTATTATATTGAACGCACCATGTATTATGTGCTTTTCACCCTTTAACAAGGAGCGGTGACCATTTAATATATTGAATCAACCCTATATTATATAGAACACACCATGTAATATGATGTACCATACCTTAAGACAGCTATGGCGTTCCATAAAAAACCTTTTGACGGATGACTTACTGTGCTTTGTGAATGTAAACAAATGTAATTAGGACAAACTCCAAGGTCTTGAGTAAAAAAAATCATCATATATTTGGAAAGGTTACAAATGATGCACATATTTTCTTTTCTATTTTATATAAAAATTTAAAACACATTAACATATTCTTTATCCAACAACAGTCTAACGTAAAATTAGCTTTCTATTTCTTTTGATTCCCTGATATACTCTATACATACATGTGATGTTTCATACCCTCACGACCTTGAAGTTTGTCTTACTTAACCTTCTATTCAAAATTTTAACTTTGGCCATAAGTTTTGTACCTGAAGAGACAGGGTTTTTATGTGCATTACTTATGACAAGCCATTTTGGAATGATTTTTGACCTTGTGTGACTTTCAAAAACTTTAATCTTGGCCATAACATTTGCACCAGAAACATTGCTTCCAAAATATAGAACAGTGTTTTGCATGATGGACAGACAAGCTGGAACAAACAAGCCCGTTACAATATACCATATTGGCATAATTCACTGCACCTCAACCATAGACCTCGAAAGCAGGGGACCACAATTCTCTGAATTTGCTTTTTATACCCCCTGCAAACAAAGTTTAGGGGGGGTATATTGGAATCAGCTTGTCCGTCTGTCTGTCCGTCTGTCTGTAGACGAGATTTTGTCCGGACCATTTCTTGGAAACTCTTCCAAGGATTTGTCTGAAAATTTGTACACTTATTATTCGCCATATGAAGGTGTGCACCTGGTATTTTCATCATGATTGGATAATTTTTTTGCATTTTACAGGTCTTTTTTTCATTTTTATTATGTGATTTTGTCCGGATCTGTTCCCAGAGACTATTGCATAGATTTGTATGAAAATTTGTACACTTATTATTTACCATATGAAGATGTGCACCTGGTATTTTCAACATTATTTGATAATTTTTCTGCATTTTACAGGGTTTTTTTTTTTTTCATTTTTATTGACTTAGTCATTTCGGGTTCATGTCTAAGGTTTGAGACATAGAATCTAGAACATCTGTGCAAAAAAGTGAACTACAGCTTAAAACAACTCATTAGAACTAAAAAAAAAAATCACAAAGTATTAAAAACAGTTTTTACATTACACAGCAGATAGTGTAAATCCATTTGTCCTTTGGGAGTAATGAGTGGACATGCATCCAGTTAAAGATTAATTAATGAGTTCAGTGTGGGAAGCTGTTAGGGCATCTCTGATCAAGCAGGTCTTATCTATATCTCCTGGGAATTGGGCAGAAAGAAATAAAGATCGCTGTTGTCTAAGTCTCTTAATTGTAATTTATGTCTGTCAAAATACATAGTTACTGGAACCAGCCTTTTATTTTTAAAATGAGTTTGATATAAAGGTATTAAGATCAATTTCATTTTGTATAATTAATTATGATAATTTTTTTTTCAACAATCAATTTGCAGAGTGTCATGTCTCACAAAGATGACAGATAGTTGCAAACTATTTTTCAATGTAATAAAAAACACTGTAATTATTAGTATTGATGTTTTATTAGGCTCCACCTTAGTTTCATTCATTAAAAGAAATGTAATGAGTAATTAAATTTTCACTCTAAATGTTTAAGCAAATTGTGAACACCTCTCACATCTAGAAAACATTAGTGATTTGGTAACTTCTCTGAAAAACCCAGCGGGGGGTATTTGTCCCTTTTGGACAGTTCTAGTTTTTGTTTAGCTGTAAGCATTTGTGAATAAATGTGAATTTTCTTCTGTTAAGATTAGTCCAAAGTTAAACTACATTATAGAGCATATCAAATGAAACATTTATTTTATTTTTTTTTTAGATGAAGAATTTCAAAAACGCATCAAAATCCATGGTACAGAGCCATCACTGGAAACACCAGCCCTGTGGTTGTCTGAAAATTTCAGCTACCCAGACAATTTTCTACATATGTGCATTTTAGAGAAATGAAGCTACTGTGATAAAAGAATTATGAGTATAAACAGTCAAAATATCTAGTAAAGTGTATGTAGTGGTGTTGTTCAGCGAAGTCTACAAGTGATATACACAAGAAGCTGATGGTACATACATGCTGGCACATAACAAGAATTCATGTACTTGCTTTGTTCTGCATAGATTCATTATTTGAACAAGAAATGGAAGTACAGTCTCAAGATAATTTACTAATGATGCAAATATGTATATGGCACTTGTGCAATAAATTCTTTTCAATGTTTTGAGCATCTGTAACCATTTTATTTATCCTTTAGTTGAAAAACTCCACATAACTAGAAGGGAAGAATGAAGCAAAGGAGCTGTTGAAAAATTACATCCATTTTGAAATTTAATCATAAAATAATAATGTATATTGAAGTAAGTGTAATGGTTTGGGATGCGGATATCAGCCTGGGTAGCTCAGTCGGTAGAGCACCTGACTAGTGATGCAGGGGTCTTGGGTTTGATTCCCAGTCCAGCCATACATTTTCTCCTTTCCTGTTGCAGGTTTGGTGCCGTTGACCACCCCTGGACTTGCAGGTGAAAGTCCTGCCAGGGGCTAATAAGAACTTGGGTTGTGTCTTCGAGGGCGAAGACAATTTAAGGAGGGAGGAATGTAATGGTTTGGGCCGTGGATATCGGTGTGGGTAGCTCAATCGGTAGAGCACCTGACCAGTGATGTAGGGGTCCCGGGTTCGATTCCCAGTCCAGCCATACGTTTTCTCCTTTCCTGTTACATTAGTAAAATATTGAAAGATTTCCATATGTATAGATACCTTTTATATGACAATAAGTCATCAAAACACAGTAAATCAGAAGATTAATGATGCAGCATGATGTTATTAAAATGCATTATGTAAATGGCTAATTTTTTTTTGTTGGGGGGGGGGGGGGGGGGACTCAGGACCTTCATCAGATGAGGTGTTCATACTTGACCTACAACTGGAGTGGATGCCCTTGTTTAAGTGTCCAAATCAAATGAACATTGGCTATGCTTCTGGTTAGGATTTGTGATAAAGTCGTTCAAGTTGCATGTTCACCTTTTGTGTCACTGCTTCAGATCTCATTGATGTGATTATCTACCAGAAAAAAAAAATGAAATTTTAAAATTTTTAAAAGGCGTGGATCCAGGAATTTTTTCCAGGGGGGGTCAAACCCAGTCAAAAAAAACCCCCTAAATTCCCTTCCCAAACGTTTAAACCCAGAAAATTTCTTGACAAGCAAATGAAAAGAAAAGGGTAAAATTCATTTTCCCAAACATGAAAAACACTTATTTGGTGGTGGTGATGGTGGGGTCCACGTTTTCTAGGGGGAGTCCAAAGTCATTTTTTATTTGCTTCAATATATACTTTTAATAACTGCAAATTCCAGTGGGAGGGTCCGGACCCCTGACCCCCTCTAGATCTGCGCATGATCTGATTTTTTCTTGCTACTAATTAAAAAAAAAATGATTTCCTGATTGTAAATTCAATAAGCAATGATTCAAATGCACGGATTTCTAAACTGACATGAGCTAAAAAATTATGACATTGAAGAAGGAAAACAGTTGGAGAATAACAAAAAAGATTTACAAAATATAACAAAGATGGAGAAAGGGATCAGTGTCAGTGCTATGTACTTTATAATTACCGTATTAAACTACATGTACATATAATTTTACTCCATTATGTTGTTACTGATGTTAATTAAATGATTAAAATCAGCTTTGCTGTGGTATATGTGTTAAAAAAAACTTACCGTATTTGATTTAAACATTAAATTTTATTATGAATGAAACAAAATGAATCAACAGCAGGCACTGCCTATATAAGTCTTCATAGCGGATCTAATGGGGATTAGGGGGTCAGAATTCCCATTTGGATTCATATTGTACAGTAACCGAAAAAGACACACGTCTCCTCATCTGTTTTCTGGGTCGGGTTTTACATGTTTTATGAGTTGATATGAACCCCCAACCCTCAAGAAAAAAATTCCAGGATCCAACATTGGTCGTACATTTAAAATACTCGGCAAATAAGTAATTCCGTAAAATATTGTTTAATAAATGTCATCATATTAATATTTAAAAAAGAAAGATTGAGGAATTGAAGGCACTGCAGTCTTTGGAAATATTAAGTCATTTAACGTTATTTATAGCACCGAGTTCCAGCTACTGAAAGTGAATTGTTTGCAATGAATTATTTAACATGTAGTTCTTTAATATTGACATTTCAAAAGTGAATAAACACCCCTCCCCCCAAAAAATCACAACATCGAAATCTAGCATCGGTTGAACTAATTTTTATATCTCTTTTTTTTTTTTTTAAATAAATCTTCGTAATGTCAAGGATGCAATAATCTATTTATAGCAACGGGAATACCAATGTAGTTTAGTAACGGTCAGATAATGATCAATTACTAATTTTGGCACTCCGAGGTAGAGAGGAGAAGGATCTCAACAAGTAAGTAATATGTACATGTATAAAGTATTGTTTTTACATATATATACTGAAATCGTATTATTAATACCGAGTTCAGAGTAGGAGAATGCATTTAGTATTCTGTCATAGGTGCTAATTTCAGCATTTTTCATTCTCTCGTAAATGTCAATGTTGAATCTTTTCTAAATAACATTTTTACAGAAATGCAAATGGTATACATATCTTTCTTTTTCTTATAATACTGGAACATCAGTTTGCCCCCCCCCCCCCCCCTCCCGATCTATCCGGTAAGATTATGAGTTATAAATAGGTCTTTTCTAAACTTGTTTCTCTCTATGTAATCATATCTTCTATTGTTTCCTTTTAACGTTAAAAACAAAAGTCACACGGTTGACTGACATTTAAAACTTTTTTCATGCACGTGTTTAGTAATTTTAATGTTCCCTAGTTACTCACTGTTACAGGAAAACATATTTTAAAACCCCCTCATTGGTCCCGGAATTCGAAACTAATAACTATGGAACGCCGTAGCTGTCTGAAGGTCACTTTAATATTATATGAGGTGGTATAACCTTTATATGTAGTGGTGAAGTCATTATATGTAGTGGTAAAATCATTATATCAAGTGATAACTTTATCATATGCAGTGGTTTTATCATTATATACTGTGGCAACGTCATTATATGTAGTGGTTAAATAATGTAATGAAGTGATAGTACCGTTACATTAAGCTGTAAAATCATTATATGCAGTGCTTATTCCATTATATACATTAATGAAATCTTTCTATGATGTGATAAGTTCAATATATACATTTATAAACATAGTTTGTGTGAGAGTGCAATCATTACATTAAATGAAACACGCTGCATGTGCAGTGCCAAGTTCATTTCATTCAGTGCGACACCTTAACATGAAGTGAAAAATTTATTATGTGCAGTACTAACATCATTATATTACGTAGTAAAATTATTATATATATTTTAAAATCATGCTATGCAGTGGTAACATCTTTATATGAGGTGGTTAATAATTATATGTCGTTGTTAATTCGTTATATGAAGTGGTCAATTCTTTATATGCTTTAGTCGTTTCATGTTGTGCAGTGATAATTTCTTTATCATCATCTAAACTGGTCCTCTTAAAGATGAAAAACGCGCGGAGATCCAGTTGAAAGCGGGTGTTGCTAAAATCGGCAAATATGATACATGTACCAGTTTAAATCCCTTGAAAATATATGAATGATACCAAAAACGATATACATTATATAGGTTGTTAATATTTAACGTTGATCATCAACAACGAGTTGATTTATTCATGTTTATTCTCAAATGAAGATTCCTGTACAAAACCAAAGCATATGGGAGGGTATAGAAAACATAAAATGTAATGTCGTACACATTGTATATATATGAAACATTTTGGTAAAATATCATTGTGAGTGAAGTAACTTTATATATGAAAGACCACTTTGATCAACATGAATGGTCAGTATTCGATATTTATATGAGCGAACACAACATAATTTTCGATGCAAAGGCACCTATAAAGCGTGATTAACCATGATATTACCCACCCACCCCATCCCCCGTATTGGTCTAATTGTAAAACTGGAAAACAACACAAACCGATTGCACAGAATAACATTAAGATTGCTATGATGGAGAAATCATGCATTTTAAGGAAGGGAGGGGGGATGATGCATAGATGTACGTTGTCCACGCTTCAAGCATGTGTCAAGTGCCTGACGGTGGATAGCGCGGATCCAGGATATTTTTCGGGGGGGGGGGGTTTACACCCAAATAAAAAAATCATGTTCACTTTTAACATCAACTTTACAGGGGTCAGTGGGTTGTTTTTTTTTTGGGGGGGGGGGGGTTTCCAAGGTCATTTTTCTTTTATTTACTTTACTATGTACACATACTTTGCTTACACATGTGAAGTATGAATTAAAGCCCTAGCACCAACTGTTCAAAAGTTATGACCAAAGTTAATGTTGGGTAAAATTTTGTAAAACTGGGTAAAACTCAAAGGTCAAGGCCAAAAGGTCAAATATTATGATGGTTTTCAAAAAACTGGTCTTATCACAAGGAATACACATGTGAAATATGAAAGCCATAGTTTCAACAAATCAAAAGTTATGAGCAATGTTAAAGTTTTTGCGGACAAACAGACTGACAGACGGACGGACAGGGCAAAAACTATATACCCCCGAATCCTCAATACGGGGGCATAAAAATAGTTAAGCTTTACCAAAAGGTTTGTCTTTATATTTTTTTTTTATATATTTAAGGACATATATTTTCGTGATATTATTCATTTGTGTTTTAATGATGATGTATATTTTGCACATTTAATAACAATAGCTATCTCTTTTAAAAGTTTGAATTGAATAAAGATACATATATACTATTTTCTCATGAATAATCGAGTAACTATAGTTTGGATATTTTTTTTTAATTATTTTTTTTATTTATTTTTTTTTTTTTTGTCTCACTTAGTGGGTCAAATAAAATGTAAAAATTGTTCTAAATTCGTGATTTTTTTTTTTTACCAGACTCGATTCATTTTCCTTTCACCGGTGTCGCCTGAGTGGCGCAGTGGTAAGAGCGTTCGCTCTAGATTGTTAATCCTTACGTGGGGGTTCGAATCCCACTGTGGGACGTGGAGACCGGTCCTTCGGATGAGACTGTATAAACTGAGGTCCTGTGTCACAGTAGGTGCTGGCACGAAAAATATCCCTCACTGCTCAATGGCCCTAAGTGTCGAGTGTAGGTACAAATTTGCAGCTCTCCACCGGCAAGTGGTGGCGTCTCCGTATGAGTGAAAGATTCTCGAGAGGGACGTCAAACATAAAAAAAACAAATTAAAAACTATGTACACATAATAACTCCACAAATTTCAGGGGGTCCGAACCCTATCTCGAACCCCCCTCTATATCCACACATGCCTGTAGGTGTGATAGGCATGTCTTCTGTTCTTTCCTTAATGCCAGTGATCGTTGTCAAAAACACAAACGTTTACATAATAATTCTCTTTCTCCCCCCCCCCCCTTTCCACCTGTTTTAAAACACCATTGCCTGTTTCATAATAAATTATCAAAAAAGAGAGTTGTCTTCGGTGAATAAGCTTTAAAAATTAGATTTGAACGAGTGATGAATGACACATCAAGATAGATACTTGAGTGTGTGTCTAATTAGTATGTAATTGATTGACCACCGCATGTATACACTAAATGTAGTACTTGGGGGGAGAGAGGGGTGTGGTCATGAATAAATTACATTGTTTGTGTTATTTTTTTAAATAGAATATAAACAGTTTGATAAAGAATATTGGTTACTGTTTGATTTATATATATGCGTGTAGTAAATAATTTGATAAAAGATTTTCCGTTCCATTCCACTTTCCGTTCCTTTTTTCAATCCGCGTTTTAAATAGCAACACCCGCTTTCAACTGGATCTCCGCGCGTTTTTCATCGTTTAAGAGGACCAGTTTAGATGATGATAAAGAAGTTACCACTGCATAACATGAAACGACTAAAGCATATAAAGAATTGACCACTTCATATAACGAATTAACAACGACATATAATTATTAACCACCTCATATAAAGATGTTACCACTGCATAGCATGATTTTAAAATATATATAATAATTTTACTACATAATATAATGATGTTAGTACTGCACATAATAAATTTTTCACTTCATGTAAAGGTGTCGCACTGAATGAAATGAACTTGGCACTGCACATGCAGCGTGTTTCACACAAACTATGTTTATAACTGTATATATTGAACTTATCACAGTATATAAAGATTTTATTAATATATATGATAAAATAACCACTGCATATAATGATTTTACAGCATAATGTAACGATATTATCACTTCATTACATTGTTTGACCACTACATATAATAACGTTGCCATTGTATATAATGATAAAACCACTGCATATAATGATAAAACCATTGCATATAATAAAGTTATCACTGAATATAATGATTTTACCACTGTATATAATGATTTCACCACTTCATATCAAGGTTATACCACCTCATATACTATTAAAGTGACCTTCAGGCAGGTATGGCGTTCCATACTTCAGGCAGCTATGGCGTTCCATATATCTAACATAATGAATCAGTAACCAGCTAGCTGTAACTAGGCATAATTAACCACTAAAATAAACTGCACACTAAATAAAATCAATTTAGCAACTGATGTAATTAAGCTAAATCGTTGCACGTAGGTAAATCATTAAACTACTAATTTTAGATGTCCTTATGTAATCAATAAAAGTATAGATCAATGTACACAAGTACGGTGCTTGACGGTACATTATGTCGCCTTGTACATTTTGGCGCCGCTGCGACAATATTAACCTAGTGGCGGATTTAAGGGGGGGGGCACCCGGCGCGCCCCCCCCCCTTAAAACTGTCAAAAAAAATGTCTACTCGGTAGACCTCTTTTTTACCCTACAAAATCTCTAGAATCCAGGAGCCTGCCTACTTTTTTGCGCCCCCTCCCCCAACTTCAATTCCTGGATCCGCCCCTGTTTACCTACCCTCACTGAACATATCGTCGTTCATCATTACTGGCAATGTCGACAATTTATGCTGAGATGACCCCTTTTCCCTCGTTGCAGAATGGGTGACAAAATTTGCCTTACATACTGGCACATATTTTGATCAGCGATGACAAATGCCTCGGACGATTGCATTTTCATACAAATATCATCATATAAACTACAAAGAAAAAAAATCCTTAAGCAACTCGAACTAAGGGACGACAATGGTAGGAACCTATTGTCGCCGTCGACAATATGTATAATGTATTATAATATTTTCACTCGGCGACAATATGTGCAGCTGAAGTTAGGTGCATATTGTCACCAACGAAAAATCTACAAGACGACAAGATGTACAGTCACGACTGTGGGGGTCATTAATTACCTGGTTGATGGAGGTTGGATTAATTTAAGAAATAAATAATTTCGATTAATTCAAGAAATAAATAATTTCCCTCTGAAAATGATTGTACAACTGATTGGCCTGCAAATATGTACAGATATGACCTTTTCCCCTACTTAGGGGGAAGTCACATTTGATGGTCAGCCTAATATTTACTAAGAAATTTGGGGAGTTCACCAATGTCACCGGACAGACACTAGTTTACCTTCTTCAGGCACGTAGTCATGTCTCCCACGATCAAAAGCCTGATTTTACACTAGTGTCAGCCTCTGACGACGAGATTCAGGAGGAACAGTCACCCACTGCTACAAGAGACCTATATTGTGTCCGTTAAGGTAAACCCAACAAACCTCTGAGAGTTTGTCCTCCCTCTAGTCGGCCTCTTAAGTGGTTAGTCACGGTATTGTACTTTGCAATAACAACACAGTACTACTTATTTATTGTGGCAAGCCTACTGTGTCATATAATTCACCTAGTATTGCAAGTCTCAATATTAGGCCATGTACCGAACTAAGCTTACATATATCTCCGAAAGAACCTTCTGTCTTCTACTGTAAGACTAATGAAAGCCGCAGCTTAGCTGTGCTTTATAGCTCGACTTGTATATTCGGAATACACAGTTATAAATCGTTATAGTTGTGTGGCCATCGCAAGGCCATCGCAAGATCTTGTCCATACTTTTTTAAAAGGAGAGGAGAAAAACGCGACGGACCAGACCGGGATTCGAACCCGGACCCTCTGATTCTCTAGTCAGGTACTTTACCAACTGAGTTTTCTAGCCACCAGCACTAGAAGTGAAAGTCACGGGTCTTTCTGATGAGACCATAAAAACCGAGGTCCCGTGTCACGGTAGGCGTTGGCACGATAAAAAAAAACTCTCACTGCTCTATGACCCTCATTGCCGAGTTTAGGTCTAAATTTGAAGCCCTTCACCGGTATACGGTGATGTCTCTATATGAGTGAAAAATTATCGAATGGGACGTTAAACAACATACGACCAATCAATCAATATGGCCACTGGTGATCGGACACGTCTGACCGCCACACTTTAACTCTGAAACAGTTTAAAGCATCAGTTGCAAGTTGCTCACGACATAATGGTTTGTCTTGACTTTCATTCAAAGACTATCTCAAAAGTCAAGGTGACTGGACAGTGGAACGGTGAAATTCTGCATATCTCTGGTTCCTTTGATTGAGATGGACTCAAACTGATGTATATGCTGGATGTAACCCCAAAAAGTGTGTCAATGTCCAATCTCACAGACCAAAGTCATACCAATGACATTTTGAAATCATGAGATATCACTTTGTAACAAAAATTAAGATACACATTGTAAGTAAAGCATATTTTTGACATTACCATGATTACGGTAGAAAAGATTAAAATAATTTAAAGAACCTATAGTGGTTAACAAGTGGTATGTTTTGGCGAAAGGAAGAAGGTGTATGTTTTTTAAAAGCATATACAGGTAAACTTCGGTATCTCGACATCGGATATGTCGACAACCTGGGATATGTCGACGTCCGTCCGCGGTCCCGGCAGTATTTACTATATAAATGATTTGCAAAAACTCTGATATGTCGACCTCGGTAATCTCGACAACCCTGGTTATCTCGACGTATATTCACAGTCCCAAAAGCAAAATTTACCTGGTATATGTCGACATCGGCAATTTTCTGCTCCACTGAACCTAACTGTTTGTCAGATAGGGTCGCTCGTCACGCACGGACGGCTCCGGGTATCTCGACGTCGTCAAAAATTCACACCTTTCACACCCATGTTATAACTGCACGCTGCTTAATTAATTCTATAGACTGTGTTTGTAGGTGAATCCAAAGTCCCCTCGGCGTCTTTGAAACGTTAATTGCTTAATGTTCAGTTTGGGTAATATCACTGATAAATCTACACGATTCTGCTTAAATTTACAGGTGTTTATTTATGTCGAAACCTAACATAACTTTAAAAATTGAAAAAGATAACTAAATTACAAAGAATAATAAACATATTGAATAAATTCAAACTAAAGAATTAAACGATGTGCTAATAATATTTTGTAGTTAAAATACATTCAACAGGAAATAATCCGATTAACGACACGATTAACGGAATCATCCGTAATTCATGCATCTGTAATATCACTACGTTAGTTTAGATACACAAATCTCTTAAAAAATTAATATTAATGCACATTCTTCCTGAATGAAATAAGAAAAAAAAAAAATTACGCATTTAATATGTTTTAGTATCTCGGATGTCGACTGTATCATGTTTATGCGGTTCGGTTCGAAGTTTATAGAGCGCATTTCGTATCCTGTTCTGACAAAAAAGCAAGTAACACGCGAATGCTGGATGGAAAACTACAAAAATTTAGAACGATTTCGATAAAGAGAAAGAACAGGCTTTATAAATAAGATTTTTAAAAATAACTTCTTAGATTTTTAATAAAAATAGAGGGATTGCTGAAATAAGTTGACCTACAGCCTATATTGAAGTCATGTACGTATAATAAGCTTATACACATGTATGTGTTTGGTTATGCAGTGAAATCTTGGACGTCAAGTCTCAACTCTGATATCTCGACACCTCGGATATCTCGACATTTTCCGATGGTCCCGTCGATGTCGAGATAACGAAGTTTACCTGTACTCTTATTTACATATTGCCTGTTCGCAGAGTCAGAAGTCCCGCTTCTGATGATATAAATTGTGGGAAACTAGCAGCGGTCCATTTCATTTTTTAATGTCATGTAGATTGTTCTTTTTCAGCAAAGACGAAAACTGAATGACATACTTTTCGGAAAGATGAATTAACGACTATAAATGGGAGTGGTTATCTACAGCGAAATCCAAAAAAGTAAACCGCAGCGGTATTGCATGTGGTCAAGTAAACCAGAACGTGTCAATAAGTACACTAGGTATCACAAAGTATACAAAATAGTGAAAATAGTCAACGTTCAGAGAGATTTCCGGTTTATGTCGAGTGAACAGAGACCTTCGACTTCAGAAGCGAGCGGAGCAGTAGACGACCCATTATATTGACATACAGTGTTTCTTCTTCGTAGAAAAGTTCACGCAGGCTTACTTATATACATAATTTTCATCAGCAAAATAATAATAAAGATGATGCACAATAGTAAATCTGACTGCAGTTTATTGTACGATCGCCATCAGCCACAGTCTACGTCATATGATGAGTTTGGAAGTGGCGCGAATGTTCCTGATAGCGCCACAAGAACAAATAGATCTCCGAATTCACCTTTAGAAACGACCGGAGGACACACGGGGGACAAGGCTCTGAGACTAGCAAGAGAATATGGCATTAATGTATCTAAACCAAAGTACCAGCAGTATGCTGTAAAAGCTACACGTCTCAAAACTTTCGAAAACTGGCCTTCTTTTTTCATTCAAAAGCCAGATGATTTGGTAGACGCTGGATTCTTTTACTCGGGTATGTATACTAGTGATACTCATTACCAGGAAATTTACTCTGCAGCCTTCTTGCATTTAATTAACTGGGTTGCGGACAAATTATTACATTTTCAACTCGGAATAACGCATATTTTGTAAGTCTTTTTACCATGAAACTAAGAAGTTTTCATTTCTTCTCGTGTGATCTCTCGCTGCAACATTTGATAGCGAGCTTGACATTTCATTCTAAACAGCATTGTACTCACCGAACTTTTTTCTCTCTTTTTTGTTTTTTTAAAAATAACACTAATTAACAGTCTTTCAGAAAAGAAAGTTTTCGGTTAAAAAAAAACAACCAGTATATCTTAACATCGTAGCAGCTTTGTTAAGAACTCCTTTAAGTATCTTCAAAAATCAATGTTGGAGAAGAGCTAGTAAGCTGAAAGAACTTGTCTTCCGATCCATTTGTTCAATTGGCTGTGACAATAAATTCATTTAAAATGTCCAAACCAAAGTTTAACACAGGGATATATGGGAGAAATATTGAACTCAAGAACAATAGAACCACCAGAAGTAGGGTTTGGTAAGAAAAAAATTCTTCAACAGAACACTCAGAAATGTTACAAATAGTCAAAACTGCTTTACAAGCAACAATATGATGGGTATATTCAAGTTGCAGTGGTAAGAGAAACGTAGCTTAGATGAGCATCGTGGCCCTGTTGTTCTTCAGTTGCATTATCAATTATCTTTGGCTTCATTTTATTTAATTTAAGCAATCATGCTATACTTATAAAGCTACTTTTACACAAGCAACGGAAGTTGTTAGATCCAGTAAGCTATCTTAATTCTTATCCCTTATAGTCTTAGGATAGGCAACATTATCGTTTGGTAGAAAAGGGGTGTGGAAAGGGTGATAATAGTAAAAAAAAAAAAAATTTTTTTTTTACTTCTTGTAAACATAGTTTTTTTTCAGTAACGAACACTTTGAACTTAATTTATTAAGCCATATTTTATCTTTTCATATCTTATTTATTAATTTTGGATTTTGTAGGAAAGGGTGATGCTGTTTTTTGCTTCTTCTGCGGTCTGGGTTTACAAGAATGGGAGGAAGGGGACACACCGTGGGGAGAGCATGCGCGATGGTCCCCTGAATGTGTCTTTGTAATAAATGTCAAAGGACGTGACTTTATCGAAATAGAGAGACTGCGAAACACAAACCCAGCTGAGGTATGTGCATAAATACATAATTTTTTTCTCCGAGATCATTGTCAATACTATTTCTTGTTTTGTGCCAAATGTATGAGAACTAAATATATATACTTGAAAATACGTCTTTTAATGTAACGTTTGTGGCGTAATCGGTAGCTCGTTGAACTGACGATCGAAGAATCTTGAGTTCTATTCCTAGCACTGGTTCACAAACATTTTCCCTCAGAAAGACAGCTATTTCGGTATAGTATGTTTATGTCATATAAATCTATACTATGCGAAAGTAGTTGGTTATTGATTACTTACAGGAAGCATAATAATGACAATGATACAGTTATTAACTGGGTAAGAGGGCAACATATGATTTGTTGGGCAATATTTTCACCTTCAGGTTCAAAAAATCATATGTTGGCCGAATCCCAGTCTATAACTGTATTGTTATACCATTCACCTAAGATAGAACAGTAAAATGAAAACCTTTAAACAGATTTACTCAGTATAATTAAACAATTTCTTTATAAGTAATATTTTGGCTTTTAAAATAAAAATGAGAACAAGGAATGAAAAAAAAATCATTAAATTATTATAACACAGAAATTTTAATATATTTTTTCCCGTGACGTCATCTTTCAAATAGCATACGCAGTAACTCTTGAAACTTCGGCTATTTCCGTTTCGCCGATACTAAACGATGACTAATTACTTGTGATGTAGCAGTGACGTTGCGGTCTAACAATTCTTATGTTGGACTGACAGACCGGTTAAGACCGATGAAAAAAAATTGTTTGATTTTTATTTGTAATAAATATATAGAAAGATATTTATAAGAGTACAAGTGATGAATTATGTTAAGTGATGATAATAATAATAATGATATTCGTTACCATAACTATTATATCCGTGATTATGAATATAATATTATTACTAGAAGTGTAATAGTACTAATAATGATAATAATATTTGTAATTATAGCTATTATATCGATGTGGATCTGAAACCTGCTTTTTGTATAATACTACAAGAAATAATATTCATAACTATAATATCAATGATTCTGCACATAGGTAATAATATTCTTAATAATAGGTTTAATATCAGTGATTCTGAATATGATATTTCCGATATAAGTTCAATACTACGTATAACATTGATAATAATATGCGTAACTGTAGCTTTAATATCAGTTGATTATGAATATGATATCACCATTAATTTTATAAGTCTATCGCCGATAATACTTTAAATTTTGATAATAATATTCCTGATAGCTTTAACACCAGTGATTCTGAATATGATTGATGTCAGTGCTATAAGTTTAATACTAGAAACATTGATAATTCTATTCGTAATGATAGTAATTATGAAATATTACTTATTTAAGTACATAATACTTGTGACTATGATAATAATATTTTTATTTGTGGTTACCGGGGTATTATATTAGTGATAATGTTTTTCTGAAGTTAAGTGGCCAATAATTTAATTGTTTCTTCTATGAAATTGGAATTGATGTTCTTAACTTCTTTTGCAGTATCTTGCAAGAAGGGAATCGTGCATGATAGAGGACAAAACTAAAGGTAATAATTAGAGAAACAAGTAGATAAAGTATGGAGTATTTTTATTATATACAAAATTCAGAATTTCTTTTCAAGAAGGAGGAAAATAACGAATTCATTTGGTTTTTAATTTTCTAAACTGTTTTTCAAAAATTTCTTACTGATTAAACCTATTTATAAATTATGTTATAATAACTTGAGTTACTAAAATGACTTACGGAAAATCCAAAGATGTGTAACACATTGAAAAAATCTTTAAAACTTACTAAATTTAATAATGAATTTGTCTGTTTTTTGTTCCAAAGAAAATAATATAACAAATGTAGCCCTTCATTTGGTCGATCCACAGATATATCGACTTCAAAGAAAAGCTTATCGACTTTCCACTTCGTGCTCAGTACATATGCTTTTCTGTGAAGCGATATATCTATAAATCGACCGCATAAAAGGGCTATATTTGTATATTGACTTTTTCCATCTTGTATTATTTTGTGAATTTGCAATATTTTAGGAAAGTCTGAAATTGATACTATGAACAGTCCAGCAATTCAGAGCTTGCTTCAGAATGGGTACGGAGAATCATTAGTTAAACAAGCAGTTACAATTTTCCAGAAACGAAATCGAGGTAAGTCTCCCACCAAAGATTAAAAACAATTCAATAAATTTTACAAACTTTTGTGCTATCATAATTTATTTAATTGTACTTAAATTGTAGGCAAATCGTTTTCGGCGAAGGAGCTTTTGGAAATAATATTTGATATTGAAGACAACAATATTCCGTTTGAAGAATCAGAGAAGAAAGGTAAGTTAATTGCAACAATATAATTAAAAACAACATACATGTATATCAAATGGATCCACCAAAAGAAATGCTGACCATATATTTATATAAATTCCAAAAAGAACTTTCAAAAATTCTTTGAGAAAAAATATCATGTTAGAAGAAAATTGTTCCAAAACTTAAAATTATCCTTTTTTAAATTTTAGATGACCCAGTTGTTCAAACAGACAACCTTGTCATAAAAGAAAATGAAGAACTCCGGAAGTCAACGTACTGCCGGAAGTGTTCGACTAGTTTTGCGTCAGTTGTCTTTCTTCCTTGTGGACATTTGTGTACTTGCTCAGATTGTGCGCCATCTATTAAGCATTGTTTGTTGTGTAATCAGTTCATTAAGGGCACAGTCCGCACCTATCTGGCTTAGTATATAAACATTTATATAAGAGTGCTGCTTTTATGCATATCAAAACTTTTCTCATAGAAGTATGATTTAAAGAATAATGAAGCTAACTTTCTGAAACTATCAGCGTTTACATTTTTTGTTTACAGTGAATTTCTAATTTTTTTCAATTAAAAAAAAAACAACTATACAAATGAGTTATACAGGAAATTGTACAACGGATAGTGTTTATGTACTGTCATACACTGTATGAATATTACAGATAGTGTTTATGTACTCTCAATTAACTGTATTATAGATAATAGTGATTATACACTTTCTAAAACACTGTACAAAAGAAACTAAGTATATAATGCCATCTACAAAATTGTTGTTTATTTCTTGAAATGTAATACACATATTGTGATTGAAAGATGTATAAAATGACATTCTCTACACTTTCAATTTCTATTTACTTTATATGTGTTTTGATTAAAGTTTTTAAAGCTGATTTATATATAATTTAATATTTTAAACATAATACTGTGTTAAATTGGTCTTTCAAACACTGAAATTTCTGAAACAATTGTCATTATTGATAAAGATCTACTTTATGATTAATATAGTCGGATCCACATATACAAATACTATGATATAAAGAAAGCGGATATAAGAATTCCTTTTTATATGATTCTATATAATTTTTTACTGATTTTAATAATTAGAATTTGTATAATTAATATCTAGTACAGTTACCTTGTTTCGTATAATGACGGCTTTTGTCCTTATGATGAACTTCAAAAGGACAATAATGCAGTACTGAACATGTTTTATGATTGGTACATTTTTTTTCTTTATATGACAATGAACCTTCCTGTAATGGAAACTTATGGATCTGACATGTAATATCAACATTCCACAGATTATTTCTTTTTTTACTAAAAACGTAAGAAAGTATTTTCCAAGGATGATTTCAAATGTTCCTTTGTGAAAATTAGATTTTAGGCAGTATTTACTTGTTTACTAAGTTAGAGTTTTGTTTGTGCAAAACGGATACATTTTATGTAGTATAATTGATGAGGCATTAAAATTATACAAGTTGCATATAGTTAAGTTATTGTCGTGGATAAAAATATCAACTGACTTTCAAAGGCATTCGTGATGTATGGATCATGAAAAAAATCTCTTATGACCTTAATGAATATTAATAGTAGATATAAAAAAGAAACACCATAATTATTTCAACGAGTATTCATTTGGAGACCACATATTCAATTCTGGAAGAAAAAAAAATCATGCTGAAATGTAGGAATTGTAAAATGAACATTTACAGACCTAGAGTCATCATTTATCATAAATTTTAGTTGTAAGTTTACCATCAATATCGTTTTCTAGTAAAACAACCAAATATGAATTCCACATAGTATGCAACCAGATAGGAAATAGATGTGTCAGACTCTGTGGTATCTTTTATTGCGAGTTCAGTATGGGATATATCGAATCAACGTACGTAGGGGTGAAACTAATTATTGTTACTTGATAAAACGATGTCGATATATATATAAATGTCAAATTGAAGGTCACAGCAAGGGACTTCTTCTTTTCTTAAAGAAGATTTTTAATTAATTATGCTTGATATGAATAAAAAAAAAATTAGGTCTGCTAAGAACAGGGCACAGTAAGTACCCATTCTAACAGATTGTTGGAAGATCTGATTTCTGAAAACTACATAGATATTGTCATTGAGAAATTCAAGCATCTTTTAAATATTAACGAATATGAAAGTTTCAATATCAAAAAGAAAATTGTGAATGAAAGGAGAATTTAACAAACGTTTATTCTTAAAGAAAAAAAAAACAACAACACATTTTCCACACCTTAATGACCAGTATGACAAGTTTAAATTGGTTAAATAACGAAGGAGTCTGAACATATTGAACTCCTGTATGGTAGCTAACCGAAAATAACTTTTACTAAAGTCAAGTCTACCAAAAACTATTTCATCGCATTAATTCTAACCTCCCAGTGAAGTGTACATCATCCAAGATGTAGACTGTCATTTCTTACATTTTTGAGAGGATTGGAATACGCCTTTTAACTGATTTCCCCACCTCAATCCTTTTTGCATCTTGTAAATCTAAGTTCTATCTTATTAAAAAGATCTTTTTTCAAAGTTTCAATTGCCTGCAAAAATTTATATGCATTATCAAGAAATAGGCTCCTTTGTATTCATTTTTATGACAAAATCATGTAAATTGATCTGTATCATATTAAAAACCTTGAGTTGAATAAAATTTAGATAGACAGAAACTTTGATTAGTTAGCTATAAAATGAAATCCATATTACATATATGTTCATAACATTCCTACATTTAGGAAGCACGGAATTATTTTACATGGTGATGACAATCAGGTCATTTTTGCCATAGCAAAATATTAGAAGTCGTTGCTATGGAAACCAAGGAGGAACTGTCCAAAATTTACCCAGCAATAGTCTTTATATAGGACACTCTTTAATATTATAGTGATAAATTAAAATTCCATGATAGTGCGTGGCCAAGCATTTTTGGTCCTTACAGAGAATTGATGTTAAACTGCAAGAAACATTCCTCTTTTCAACATTGACTCAAACACCACAAATCACGTGACTCTCCGCTCATTTATAAATACAAATCTGAAAGGATTATCACCATGATAGCAAAGTAAATGTTGATATTAAAGATAATTTTATGATTTTGAAAGGTCCATAGAAGAGGAAAACAACCGCTTATATATATATATATATATATATATATATATATATATATATATATATATATATATATATATATATATATGGACAACATACTTGAAATTTATTTGCTATAATCCCCATTATGCCATGTTAGTATATCCAAGAGGATTCTTTGTTGGAGCATAAAACAGGAAAAAAAAAACCCAGCATCTAAAGCAAGGAAAGTAGTTTATAAGAGAAAAGACATTGGTTACATTATTAAAAAAAAGAAAAAAAAACATCGAAATCTGGCGCGAAATTTCTCATGTTCCACAATGTTTACTCAGTACCGTCAGTTCTACAGTAGGGGAAGGCGGTGGCTGTTAAGCCGTAGTATGTTCCTCTAGCCCCTTTAGTGGTGTCGTATCCCCAGAACACACACTTGGTACGGCTACATTTGGACGCCAAAAACTTCTTATAGGTACATTCACAGGCCCTCAACTTACACTTGTCTCTAATGGATTCCACGTAGTATGCTACAGCTTTCAGATGTCCACAAGCTTTGCTGAAAGTCGCCTCTAAAGCGATCAAAAAAGTAGATTGAGTTACAAACCCGTAAAGAAATTTATAAATTTAGGCATTGCAAGTCCATCATACAAACCATTAAAGTTAATGTATTCTTACTTTTAAGCTTATGGATCCTGACCGGTTTTTTTGGGTTATATGTACACCCTGGTTGCCTCCTTCCGCCATTGACGTAGATATCCAGGTGACCACATGGTTTTCTCATTCCATAACCTATGAAAACATACATTTTTGTCTTGAAGTAGACACTATTAATCCCCTGTCGTTGAAACCGGAGTTAACGTAAGATTTCCTCTTAGTCTGTCCTCTGTCAGTCAGTCTGTCCAACCTGGTTTTCCGGACTTCCCCCCCCCCCCCAGATGCACATTGAGCCGAATTTAGTATATCTTGATAAATTACAAATCAAATTTTGAATTTTCTTTTTCGAATTATGCCCATACAAATAATGTTTCATTTATAATTGTAGCTGTATTTTCCAGATTATTCTGGTCAACAAAAAATAATGCAGACAAGCAAAATAGTAAAGATATGTGTTGCTAAAAATCAGAATTTGGGGGTTCAATTTTATAGGTACCCTTTAGCCACAAAATAATAACCTCGTTGAGGTAATACCTTTCATAACGATCGACAAGTTTGCATAAGCTTAACATTTAGCAATGCAAGAATGTAATTGACTCCATCCCATTAAAATGATTCTACAATTAAATTTCAAGAAAATGTATTCATTTTTATGAAAGGATTCTAGATGTAAACAGACACGCAGACAGAAAGATACAAACATATATTTTTGAAAACAAGGTTGCCTTTTAACTACTTATATTTTCCCATAGTCTTAAGATTGTTCTGTACTTGCTGTTTGGTTTACTTTCATTGTCTCACTGATCAGAGAATAAACATAGTGCTATTCTGTACCTCCTACTTTATATTTTGATCAGATATTAGGGCTTCTCAATAGCAAAAATAGACTACTCATATGAGATCGAGATGGGAGGGGGTTATCATTTTGTGAGCTTACTTGTGCTCACAGTTTCATTTTGTTTTCTTGGAAATTTTTTCTTGCATTAAAATTTAATTACAGCAATGTTCGAAAATAAGTAAATCATACTTAAACTTTAAGACTGCGATAACATTTGCGATAAGGTCAAATGTTGAATCATATCAAAAGTCAGTGTACATAAAAACTACTAACCAAAAGGTCTAGCGTCTGTATGAATGATATCGACGAACTGGGCACTATCCTTGTTAATTGCAAACGATGAATTTTCAAACAAGGGACTAGCTGGGTCCAAACCTAAAATAAAATTTATATAGGAAAAACACCATAAAATGGAAAACATACCTAAAAATATGTATTTGGATGCTACAGAATGGCATGTAGAGTTAAAAATTCCAATATGGGTATGTTATTATTTAATTTCTTTTTTTTGCCGAGCCTCTTGCATTATGTAACAATTATAAATGACTTTTTGTGATAAATGTGTTATTGAAATAAAGTGTTCTAAAAGAAAACACTTTATATCAGACAAATTTGAGCATTTTTTCTTCAGAGGCAAAGATAAAAAAATACACAAAAAGTATAGAAGACATTCCTTGTACTTACCAGTGATACGACCTATTTTTCCTTTTGAAAGTTTTCCCGCCTCTGCAGCTGCATGTGCTCCCAATCCTTGTCCCATGAGATGGACTGTATTCCAGGGAATCTTGTTCTTTTTCAGAAATTGGTACACATAGGCTCCAACAGTCTGGACGTTAGAGGCAGACTGAGCATAATTAATGCTGGCTCCTCTACCCCAATCAATAAGCAGGACATTGTGCTTTCTCTGTAATTTTTTTTCATATCGCATTTTATAAAGAAACATGTTAAAAATAGTCAAAATACAGCATATATTTGCTATATACTTTGGATATCCATACACACTGTAATAAAAAATTAAAGGTCAAATTTTCATCGTTTGTTTCTGAGTATAATCTTAACAAATATTGTATGCAAATATTTGCTTTCAAAAAATAAGAAATATACAACATATGAAAGAAATACATTCTCTCTCTCTCCCCCCCCCTCTCTCTCTCTCATATATATATATATATATATATATATATATATATATATATATATATATATATATATATATATATATATATATATATATATATATATATATCTCAAAAAAAAACAAACAAACTCTACAATGTCTAGATATCGAACATCTGAAGCATCTGGAACATGATCCTCCTATGTGTTCATGTTCTTCTTTACCCTACAACTATTTATTTATGGATTCTGTGGAAGATTACTCCTGGCAATGGGCCAAACATAAAAAAGATCTTGATACTTTGTCTGAATGGATTAAAAGGAATCTCGCATTAAGCGATTGAGGGGCAATATGAAAACCATCTATCCTCCTGTCTTCAAAAATTCAGAAGAAAAAAAAAAAAGAATTGATAGATTACAAGATCAATATGTACTGGTCCCAGCTGACAAAGCAGGTATAAAAATTGTCTTTGTTTGTTAGGCTCATTATTTTAATTGTATTTTAGATGAAGTTGGATTTAATTAATATTGCGCAAGTGGTACATGTAATTCAACATATAGTTCCCCTTTACGGAGGAAATTCCTCAAAACCACATGTCATTTCTAAATATTTCCAACAATCAAAATGAATTTAAATTTGAAACCTATTCTGGATTCCTAAACTACATCAAATCCTCACAAACAAAGAAACATAGTGGGTTCCAGTAATTGTTCTACCAAGCCCCTTTCTTTACTCCTCACTAAAATATTACAGCAGTGACGGAGAAATTTCAGAAGTACTGTACATCAGTATACTGATATATATATTCGAGCGTGGTGTAAATAAGATATGGATACTTAAAAACTCCAAGGAATTTTTTGAAAATTTAAAATCACAAAATTTACTAAAATCAATAACATAAAAACGCACGGCTCTACACAACCATTCTCCAAAATGAATTTAAGTACCGGCCTTTTGACATCATAGACAGCTCCTTTTTCAATAAAAATGGAACTCGTAAATTTACTTACCTTCACATTGGTCATTTGTAAAATTATTTTGTTAAAAAACATTCTGATTGTACACACAAGTACTCTGAAGTTGATATTAAAAAAGATGCTTGAGTTTCTGATTGACAATATTTTTGTAAGTTTTTGAGATCAAGTCTTCCAATCTCTCGAAATTCCGATGGATAGTAATTGCGCCCCGTTATTAGCAGACCTATTTTTGCATTCATTTGAAGCAGAATTTATTTAAAAACCTCTACATGAACAAGTCTCTTGTGGCATTCAAATCAACATTTAGATATATCGATTAACACTATTCATTTTCATTCCCACTTTCAAATTGATTCCATATATCCTTCTGAACTTAAAAAAGAGAAACCACAGAGTCTGTCACATCTGTTTCATATTTGGTTATTTTTCTAGAAAAGGACATTAATGGTAACCTAACAACAAAACGTTATGCTAAATGTGATGACTTAACTTTTCTATCGTCAACTTCCCTTGTTTATGTAGGAATATGCCATTTTCACCTGCATATGGTGTTTATGTCTCCCAGTTGATTCGATACGCAAGAGCATCCCCTACAATTTCTAAAACGAGGCAAGCTATTGATGAAAAAGTTGATGAAACAAGAATATCAACAGTCTTGTTTAAAGTCAACATTTCACAAATTCAATGGACGCTACAATGGCCTTGTCAGCAAATACAATCTATTTTTAAGTCAAATGTTGACTGACGTTTCCCATACAAATTGTTGGGCCATTAACAAAACCTACGGGTTTTTCTGTTTGCCCGATACTGACAAGGATCACACGGCGGGTTTGAACGGTCGACGTGGGATACTTGCTCCTCCATTTCACTAGATCCAACCTTTGCTGTTTTTTTTAAAGGTCTCTGTTTGCTCTGATCGTTTCAATTGACTTTTGTGGTTTATTATTGTTCGTTATCTTCATATTTCCTAGTAAATGTATTTGTATTTTGAGACTGTCCAAGAAGGTAGATTTTCCCTAACCTTGACATGTGCACTGAAGTCAATGTAAGTTAAATATGATATAAAATAAGTTGGTTTTCTATTGCAGTTTTCCCACAATAAAACCCTAATTGGCTCCCTTAAAAACATTTTTGAAAAGTCTGAAATGCTTATCCCCTCAGCTGTCTTTACTAAAATGAATCCCGTTGCACTCTCTGAATTAAGCTTAATAATTAGATTAATATATATTATGTGCAAAAAAACAAACAAACAAACAAACAAAAAACAAACAAACAAAAAAAAAAACAAAAAAAACAAAAACAAAAAAACCCCCAAAAAACAAACAAACAAAAAATTTATTGTAACATTTTACTATATCCATTTTTAGTAAGATTTTCCCCTATACTTTCTTAAAAAAATTAATTCATGATGATGAGATATTTATATATAACTGAGTTTAAACACGAAACAAAAAATAAGAATCCATTTCTCAAGCAATTTTAATCAGTCATCTTACTTTTCTCAAGGAGGACGCCAGGTCCTTTATCTCCGGAAGTGACGAATCCACCAAGTATCCATGAATGATGATATCAGTTTCTTTGCTTCTATCAAAACTTCGTGGAAGGGCCGTGTTTTCTGATATTTCATTCACACCCTCTAACCAAAAGCTTTTCAGCCTCATATCCTCAGGGCTTTGAGGGGCTTTGTTGAATCGTTTGCTCATACACATCTTTAAGGCCAAGATTACAAAGCAGAGGTCTGTAGCTCTACCTACGACTACAATGTTTTACTATAATATGTATTGCAGAAGATATATCAATACTTGTGTGACGAAACTGAGTACATACCTCAGTATGGATCGTGTATTTGTAAAAAGCTGAAAATTGAGGACATATTTACAAAAAAGTGAAGTTAAAATCTAGATCTGAGTTTACCAAATTTCTTCGTATCAGTTGAAATTGTAGCTAAAATATCTGTAAATGCACATTACCTTCATTAGTGTCCGACAATACACTGTTTGTTACTTCTCCTGAAATATTTTTACAGTTTATGTATCAAAAAAAAGAAAGAAAAAAGAAAAGAAAGAAAAAAGAAATAAAATAAAATAATAAATTAAAATGCATTTTAGTTTAACTGGATGTTTAAAATATATAACACCATGAACCCTTGACCAATGGTCATTCTTTTCAAAATATCATTGTATATTTAGATACACGTACCATTCCGTCTATAGTTTAATCCAATCTGAAAGTATTTTTATTTATCTCTTGCAATTTTTCTTTTCCTATCTTATTTCCGAGAATGGCTACATCAAATGGGACCAGCTTGTGAAATTTGACTCAAGCTTAGTTTTATCCGAACACTTGGTATAGTGTTAAATGAAATATGATTCGTTTATGTTAGAAAACAGGACCTACAGCTGTATATTGTATCCAGAACTGGCAAAATTAAATATGTCAAGTCTCTAATTATATATGATCGCGTTATGCAATTACGCAGAACATGTGGCATCCAATTCGATATCTACATATATCGACAACGTAATCAATTATAATATTCATTTACATTTCATCCATGTTGTGCTTTGATATAACGCACTGAAAAAAATACCACTGCATGAGTCTGACTCATCTCTATTTCGTATTTGAATGCTATACTGTGAGAGACTCTGAAAGCAAACTAACAAATAACCTTTATCGTAAACTCGAAGACTTCAATTATTTTATCGTCAGGTTCCCCTTTTTTATGCAGCGAAATACCATTATCCCCTGCATATGGTGTTTGTGTCTCTTAGTTGATTCGATATAAGCGTATTCTGTGAACGATCAATTTCTGACCCGAAGCAAACTACTGACAAATAAGTTGGTGTTACAAGGGTGTCAACGGTGAACATTTCCAAATATTATAGTCGATACAATTACCTTCTTTCGCAAATTTAATCTGTCTTAAAGCCGAATGTTAACTGACGTTTTCAATGTAAGTTATTACAATATCATTTCCAAATTTTTCCCGTTTACTCGATCAAGACAAAGGGTTCACGGCGGGGTTGACCGGTCGACAGGGGATGTTTACTTCTCCTTGGCACCTGGTATCACGTCTAATTTTTCAAGAGTCAATTTTTGCTCTGCTCTCAATTTGAAATTTGAAATGAAGTTTAAGGAATGATGATTTTTCGTTATCTTGACATTTCATTTATATATTATATACAATTTATATCACAATATATCAGCATTTCAGGTCAGACGGGATGTATGGGTTCCAGTATTTATCATACGTGATTTTTCAGCGGAATATTTCATGCAAAGGATGACTGCACTTAAGGACATGCAAAATTTGCGACAAAATAAACTTTCAAAACAAGCATTTTTTTTTTTCATTGCAAGAATTGTCAACATCCAATCTACAACTTTATGTAATTACGTTTAATAAAAGTGTGTATTTACGAAGTTCGAATCTGTTTTCAAAGGCAGGGGACATCACAATTTCTTGAATCTCCGTACGATAATGAGGACGCCCATATTTTTACTGACTTTATACATAGTCAGCGCATGTTTGTCTATTGTTCTACGTTTAACAGTAGTTGTATATTTGCATAAATAATAATGTGTCAAAAGGAGATTAATAGACAAACATGCGCTCATGGTTAAAAAGAGAAAAAAACTGCTTCTTCTTACATTCGCTCTCTGTGTTGTAACCAAGGATTGTGACATGTTGAATATTATAATTCACCACGTGATGTCTTGCCTCAGGTAACTTTGTGAATGCTAAATAACGTCACGTGACTTGTTAGCATTATTGTGCTAACTATAGGACATTGTGTTCGAAAACGTTAGGCCATCTGGCATTGATATACAATCTGCTTTAATTACATTGACGTGCTCATATTGCTAGTTTCGTTTTGAAACCTTTGTCAGAAGTGTATTTGTGCCATACAGAATGGAGAGGAGATTGGAAAGAGTGATCACGTTCTTTTTTCAAATATGTCATTGTTATTTATCGTCTAATTTTAGACCCATTCTTACAATGTTAGCTCCACCTCTCATGCATATCTAATGTTCAATCAAGGGCAGGTAAGTGTAAATTCACTATTTGGAAAGCAGTAAGGACAAAAACATTGAATCATTTTATTGTATCACAGTCTAAAATCATTTTAAGATTTAAATTTGGTTCCAAATTGACAGGATTCTTTCATAAACATACAAAAGTGAAATAAGATTTAGATATAAAAGCAACAGAAGCAACCGAAAAAAACCCCAAAACAGGTGTTAAGTGCAGTCATCCTTTATTAGAAATAACCGTACAAAAGGCATACAATGATAAAATGTAACCAAGGCTTTTAATTGCTCCAATTTATTCATGTATCAAAAAATTGTCTTCAATCAGTTTATTTCATATATTTCACATAAAAATATTTTGATAGTTAAGTTTGATGTGAAATCGTATTTCTCTCAGTTTACTTACGTTTTCCGTTTCCCACACAAACTAGAAAAAAGATTCGTGCAAAAAATAAATCACTATATTCAGAAAAGTAAGATTATTGCAATGTAAATTATACTTTCTCCTGTTTAAAACATTTTTATGCATATATAATATTATATTTTAAGTATCATGTTACATGGGATTCAAAAGGGATTGATAATACTTTGTCTAAAAAAATATTTATTGTAAGGAAAATTAATTCTACACAATGAAAAACAAAATATTTACATAAAACACCTCACCTGCTCTGTCGTGGCAGTGATAGCTATGGTGTCCGCCCATTTTGTCCGCATCCAGGGCTCTAAGTTCATTCCTTTTTATACATTTAACCATTGATTTGAGAAACGCACGTGCTGTATTGTAAATATTTATGATAAAGAGAAAGTAAATGAAAAAATGACACTTGTATATTTGGCTAGAGTATGATATCATGCATATGACAGGTAGGACTGGCAAATTTTGAATGTTATCGTCAATATTGATTAAAATGTGTTAGGTAAAAGACATATGAACAAATACCTAATTAAACATATGGTGTTAGAAATTTTAAAATTTTGTCCGAACAGCTGAGGCATTCTACATCAATAGAAACAACTTCTTTTGCCTTCATTTTGCCATTTTCTTGAGAAACAGGCCAATTTTGATCCCCTTCTCATAGAAAATTGCATATAGAGATATTTTAGAATTCGGACATTTTGCACATTTTAAACAGAATTCGGGCAAATTCTTATACCTATCTTTGTGTACACTGGAAGAAGTGTTCCCTGACCAAAAATACAATAACAAACTTAAGTTTATTATATTTAATTACAGTGCACAATAGCTATCAAAGTTTTTACTATAGTAAATAAAAGTATTTTTACTACGGATTTCATGTTGTTATATTTCATGTTCTCCAATTCATATAATCAAATTTTAAATAGAATTATTACTTGTATACTTACATATTATTTCCAAATTGTTCATCTATGATACCGAATTTAAGAAATTGTAAGCTTTGAAATCTCAAAAAACTTAAACAAAGTTTCATAGTAGATCAAAGTATCACAGTATTAACTATATGTAACTATAGTAAACTATAGTTAACTATAGTAAATGTTTGTTAGTGTTCTTTCATTATGTGCAAGATTTATATGAATGTTTATTCAGATAATAGCTGTTGATAATATAAGCTAACCCCTTCCATTTCAATCATGATCGATACATGTGGATGATAGTTTGCTAAGTACGAGTGTTCAAAGAGGCCATGGACAATGGTGTTTTATCATTTTGAATGGTTTTACATGTACAGATTGCAAAAAATAATATTATTTTAGTAGCTTTTTAACGAACATATGAATACTCCAAATTTCAGACTTATTAACTGGATTTTATTGGTTATTATTCAGTGTAGAATACTGAAAAGTAGGGATTTCAAAATATTCACTTTCCTCAGTCGATTATTCGATTGCATTATTCGAACGATATTCGAATATTCGGAACATTTTCTGAAAATAAAATTTCGTTTCAAACTTCACTGGTACATGACGTATTTGTAACTCAAAATCCCTTTTACTTAAAACTATTTAAAAAGTAACATCAAAATTAATGCAACGTGTGGATAGCACGATTATATGAAATAAATTTAGACAGCTAATTCTCCATAATGTATGATTTCCCCGTCAATCGAATTCATAAATCGGTCTGAACAGTCAGTTTTTATTTTAGTAAGCATTAAAAAAGTTGCAGACAGATAATTTTAAAGCTTATTATGAAATAAATTGGGATGGGGGTAATCTCACACTATCCACTCGTCAGGTTAAACTGTTAGATACCGCGAATTTAATTATTGATTGCTTCGGCTTTCAAAATGTCCTTAAAATGTAAGCGATTATCGAAATGTCAAAACATGTCATGACTATTGGTGTGTTCCTTGAACAATCTTAAAATAATAAGATATAATTGGTGCATGGTATAAGATCAAGTCCAAATAATAATTTTACAAACAAAGCCCATTATAGTGATGGATAATCTATTAAAAAAACAACGCAGACAGTGACTGACAAATTATTCTGGCGATAGTGAAGCATTATAATTACTATTCTTTCTATATATATACGTGAAAAGTCAACATTTTTTGTTGGGGAAATTATCTTTTCGATTGTTTCTGAGGAAAAACGGTCTCTCAATTTTGAGATGAGAATTCCATCTCGTTAACACTCTTTTATTACATTTATTGAATAATAATCATCGAATGTCTTTTCATTATTCCATCGTCGGTCAATTCGACTGATAGTCGAATAGTCAACTATTCATTGACATCCCTACTTAAAAGACCAAAGAATGATATTTTTGTGAGCAAGAAAGCTACAAGGTGCCATATATTTAACTAAAAAAGCTAGATCTATGACATCACGAGCATAAATGTAAAGCAACTTTGTGAAATTAGTCAGATGTTCCTTCGGATCAATTAATTGAATTCTTTAATATAAAATTCCGTCTTTTAAGTCAAACTTTCTTTAATTATTTTAAAGAAAATCAGCCCAGCCTGGTAGGTCAGCTGATTGAAATAAAGAAAACCTTAAATTTATATATTAAAAAAATCACTAAAGTTAACGACAGTCACAATAAATTATATGACTGCCGTCATGAGAAAAGGGTCCTTATCTTTTGACGTCACAATGCGCAGAAAACGACGTCAAAGTTGCGGTATTGTAAACACGGAAGTAATTTTTGTCGAGTGCGTTTTGTGAACAAGAAATAAAATTGGATTTCCAGATGTTACAAGAATAACATTAAATGATATGAAATGATGTGGAAATTTTTATTAAATAATATAATTGCATACTAGTACATGCATTTATAAATTATTCTTTTTTAGTATTTAACTTGATATCACATAATTAAGCTAAACGCGACATTGAATTCATTGTTAATTACGACGATTTATAGCGACATGTTTATACATGTATGATGCATGACTAAAGATACAGTAACTGTATATTTGTTGTCTGAGCAATTCGAAAATGTTTAAATTTGACTAATATTCAGTAGACTAAGTCTTATTATGAAATGGTATTCTACATACACGTATATATATTTTTTTGAGAGAGAGAGAGGGAAGGGGGAGAGAGATCAATGCACATATACACTTCTCTTTTCTTAAAAAAAGATACCCTAATGTAAAATGTATTAACCCATTTTAATACATAGTAAATCATATCCATATGCGCAGTTAGACCAGCTCAGGTTGAGGCGTCGATATCCAAATGTGTGTTGGGGGGGGGGGGAGAGATCATTGAAAAGGAAAACAAATCTGCGAATAAAAAAAACAATCGGTCAAAATTCATTCTAAAAAGACATCCTTTCTTTTTTTTATTGGGGGTCGGGGAGTGGGTTAGATACTGATACTGGTATCATGGGAGATTCGGACCTCCTACTACAACAACGAATGAGGGGGGAGGGAGGCAAACGGCCCCTATATAGATAATTCTTTGCTAATTAACAGCAAGAGCATATGCAAAGGGGAAAACGGAAGAGGGGGATGCCACATGAATTTTGCATAAAATAAATTATGGTAAAAAAAAACATTCTGAAATGATCAAATAAATACATAAAAAAGTAGTCTTTGATAAAATTTATGCATCAATTTTCTTAAATTGTTGCGATAAAAGCTGACTTGAAATTGAATTACAATATGCTTAGGAAATAAATACAGCTATATAATGTGGACTTTTTCCAAAAGCATTATGATCAATGTTGAAGAAAATAACATCGACGGTGATATCAGGATTAAAAATATTTATGAAACAGAAGATACAACAGACTAAACAACAGATTAGACTGTAAATAAATTACGAACTTCTGATAAATGTTGATATGGCGACATCTTTTGAGAATAAATCACTGATAGAGGAATAAGTACTAGTAACAAGTGGTTATGGGTGTCATTTTCAAATGTTAAGAAAATGTTCAAAAACATCAACCACACCAGTCGTAAGACAACAAAGACAATCAAGAAATCTAAATTTTGATAAAGATGAAAGAAAATTTAACACTGGTGATGTTTCGAGCAGAAAAAAAAGGTTCAGGCAAAACTTAGAAAACCATAAAAAATGTTAGAAAAAACATTTTTTTGGTTGACTTTTGAATTCATGTACATCTGTATGTAATAAATTAGTCACGTTTCGTGTTGAAATCTTGGACGTTGAGTCTCTGCTCCGATATCTCCATATCCCGGATATCTCGACATTTTTTGAAAGTTCCGTTGCTATCGGGATACTGAAGGAAAAGAATTAAACAAGCACACACATCTTTCTGATTTTAAAGAAAAAAATGTTTCTATTTCAGTCGTGTGGTAACAGGCAAAAATAAGAGTCATGTTCTTTTTTCTTTTTTTGGAACAATAACAAGGAAAAATGGTTTGTCTATTTTATCTTTAGCTTTCAAGACAAAAGCAGATACTAAGTCGCCTATGAAGGTGAAGTTAGAGTGGTAGAGTAACAAACATTCAATGGGATATTGCTTGACCGAATCGCCTCATATACAAAAAAAGTATAAACATGTGTGTCGGACGTAATATTTAATTATTGTTTAAGAATATATTTTATGTACATTTCATCGCATCGAAATATGAAAAACTTAGATTTCAGATTAACTAATGCCACAGAGGAAGATGAATAGATGACCTTAATTATGTTAAAAAAACATATATTCAAGCAGGTCCGTAGCTACAAATTCAAAAGTGGCGGGGGGGGGGGGGGGATTTCTCCATTAATCTGACACGCAATTAAAAAAAAACCCTATACTGACTAAAGAGTGGTGGTGGTGTTTGCGGAGGGGGGGGGGACTTTCCAAAATAATCCGAGAAGAAGAAAAAGGGGAAAAGCTTATCTGTACAAATATCCTGGAATTTTTCAGTGCTTCACCTTACAACAACAAAAATTTGGTGGTGGTGGTGGGGGGGGGGGGGAACCAGCACCTATAAAAGGAAAATTTGCTAATACTATACTCATAAAAAGTGGGGGGAAACCCCCCTCCCCCCGCGTTCTACGGGCCTGTTAAGTCTTGCAAGAGATTCGGTTTCAATTTCACAATAGATTTCATAGAAATTGTAATGCTACTGTATTTCATTTCGTTCAGAGAAGTCCGTTTAGTTTGTATATATATTTAATAAAAGAGCCAAGAGCAATACAACCATCTCTTTAATCAAACCATACAATACATGTATATACATAAACCATATATTTGTTTTTAGATTAACGGCCCTTTTAAGAAATGATGAACGATAATTGTTGTGTTCA